AATACTGATCTCTAAATGATAGTGCACATTATTGAGGAGCTTGGAATCATTCTCATCTGACACAAAAGTGATTGTCAAGTCCCTGATGCCACAGGAGTCTGCTCCGGCCACATTATGCAGGTAGGTGTCAGAATCCTCAGGCATGTTGTCATTAAAGGCAGTGTTTAGCAGCTTGTTGTTCATGTTTCTGCTGGACGGGTTGGTAGACCACAAGAATTCATCATTGACAATCTTTAAACTGCTGGTACCAAATAAAGCCTCTCCTGGGGAAATAGCTAGGAAGTTCTGCTCCACCAGAATGGTGGCCTGGGAATTGCAATGCTGCACAGACTTCCCAAAGATTTGGGATTCTAAATTAAGTAGTCCGGGTCTAAATCACATTCTTAACTACCATATAGTGCTATTCATTTTATTGCCTATGCAGAGGTGTTCCTCTACTTAATTCAAATAGTGTCCTTTTTCTAGTTCTGTGATAAATAAGGTTAGTAAATAGAATTCTCTTTTTGTGGGAGAGGGGGGATCTCAGCTTGAAATTAAGCAGGATCAAATATACTTAAGTATATCTTAAGTGGTGTGATGATCTCTATTTCCAAGACATCTAAGTGAGGCCAAGGGAACTCCTATGTCAGAACCCATCTTCATGGTAAAGAGTGGGGTACACCAGCTTGAAGGACAAAAAGTCAGTGCTTAAGTGGAATGGTGAATTCTTAGAACATGTAATGATTATCACTGAGATTATTCTCTGGCCTAGCTACACAGACTCCATGCCTAAATCTTATAGAATTTTCTGTGAATAAAAATGGAAAGGGCTACTTCATTAAAAACCCAAAGAGATACAGAGAACTAGCTCATATAGTATGACAAAAATACAAGGGAGAAGAATCCTCTTCTCTTCAGAAAAGTGCTCCAGAAAATTCAATGTAACTTTGATACAGGCTGGTAAAGCTTACTATATAGGACAGGGGCAGGAGACAGCACCTTTAGTGCAAACACTGGAGTTCTCTGAACTAGGCATTGGTCATGTTAGGAGCTTCACATGGAGATAATTACATCAGGGCCAAGTACAGGATGAGAAAAATGGACATGACTCATGATGGCAGAGAAATGGGTGAGTATGCAGGAAACACTTTCAAGTCTACTCCTCAAATAGTTGGGAAGAACTTTAAAGGAAGGCTCATAAATCAATGGATTAGGCAGTCAGACTCAGTATGTGTCAGATATTATAACCCAGTTTGACTACCAAGGTGATAATAGCCTGAAAAATATGGATTATACTCCCACACATTTTTCTTAAGCCTTTGAAGTTTGTTATTACTTAACTATTGAACATATAACAAGTATTAAGAGAACATTCTGAAGTATTTCATTTTTATTATTGTTTTATTTTGAAATAATTACAGATTCACAGTAAGCTGAAAAAGTAGTACAAAGAGGTCCTGCATACTCTTCTTCACCAGTTTCTCCCAAGGGTAACACCTGAATAACTAACAAAACCAAGAAACTGACATTGGTACAATTCACCAATCTTGTTCAGATTTTGCCTGTTTTGTATGCACTTGTGTCTGTCTGAAGTTCTATGCAATTTTATCATATTTACATTTGTATAGCCAGTCCCATAATCAAGATACAGAATTGCTCCATCATGACAAACATATCCCTTGCTACTCCATTAGAGTCACACCCACCCCTTTCTCTCTCCCTATGCTCCTACCCTGCTCCTAATCCCTGGCAATCACTAATCCGTTTTCCATTTCTATGGTTTTATAATTTTAAGAATGTTACTTAGTGGAATCATAAGGTATATAACCTTTGAGTTTAGTTTTTCTCTCAGTATAATTTCAGATATTTCTATTTTAGGGAATATGTGTTAATGATTATGATTTTGTATTTGTCATAGGATAAAATATTAAAATGTCCACCTCCCAGATTTACCTAATGGCTGGTCTTACTTCTCACCTATACTGGCATCTCTGTTATATTTTTATAACTTAAAAAGTCTTACCCATAAACACAAATAGGGTAATTTTGGTTAAGTGTTTACTACTACTGCATATAATGGAATACCTTGTTCAGAGGTTACATTTTGCCCAGACATGATTCTGTATGTGTGTGTGTGTGTGGGGGGGTCTCTTACCAGATGAAGGTGTTTCAAGGAATTTCTTAAACAAATTAGAAAAAAAAAAACACAAGAAAGTAAAATGTTACAAAATAAACTAAATTATTGTAATTGTCTTACTTTCAAAAGTACAAAGCAATTAACAAATAGAGAATATGTTGCCCTCTTCACCATCAAAAATCCAGTAAACAGAACATAAAACAGTCCAGTCAGGTCACCTGGGTGATCTGATCATTCCAGAAACTGAGAAACGTTTGCTGAGATTACAGAAAGCTTTGGTTTTCCCACACTTTATGGACTATGGGAGTAGCAAGGATTGTGAAAATGGTCCTGGAAGACTAAAATTCTATTCTATCTGCTATTTCTGGATTGGAGGGACTCACAAACCTACGGAGCTAAATCCGTAAGGATTTTGGACTTACGACCAAGAGGCAGGGAAAAGGAAAGGTTTCACCTTGTTTTCTGCTGTGAGTTGTTTTCTTTCATCTAGGCTTCTATTATAAAACTGGATGTTAGGTGTTTAGGAAATGTCATTTGGTTTTGATCATTTTACTCAGATACACTGTCTCTACATTGGATACTCTTCAAAGAAAGTGTTAGTAATGTGAGTTAGGACAGTAAGTTTCAGACATGATTTTTCATACTGAAAATTGTTATCTTACTACACTGATGGACAGTGATTACAATGAGGTATGGAGGGACTCGATAATAAGGGTGAATGTAATAACCACATTGTTTTTCTTGTGACTTCTTCATAAGAGTGTATATCAGATACCTTAATAAAACAAAAACAAAAACAAAAACAAAAAAATTGTTAGGTATCTTAAGGTCTGGTGCTAGGAGAAAGACAACTCTTTTGTTTTTAAAATCCAGAAACTAAATTGGTACAGTCTTTTTGGAATCATAGTGGCAGTATTTTATCAAATCTGAAAATATTTATACCTTTTGTTCTGCAATTATGCTTCTAGGAATCTTCCTCAGATATAATCATATTTGTGCAAAGATATTCAATATATGCATGATGTTCTTAACAATATCGCTAGTTATTTTGAATAATTAGAAACACTTTAAATCTCCACTATTTTGGAAAAGGTTAAATTATGTACATGAAATTGTGAAATGCTATGCAGAATTAAAAAGAATTGAGTAGATGAAAAGTAGTCATGAAAAAAAACTCCATGATTTTTAAGTGACAAAAAGCCAATAAAAAATAGTTTAGAATTATTATAGATGCAAACATAATTATTATTTTTTATTGAAGTATCAATATACTATCTTATGTTGGTTTCAAATGTACAACACAGTAGTTCAAAAATTACCCATATTATAAAATCCTTACCCCTTCTAGTGTAGTTGCTATCTATTAACATAGAAGATGTTACAGAACCATTGACTATGTTCTCCATGCTGTACTACTATCCCTCCCCCACCCCCATGTATTATTACACTGGTTATCATGGGCTGGGGTGGTTTCTGAAGAAAATAATTACAACCCTTTAATGCTTAATGTTATTTGAATTCTCCAAAATGAGCATGGACATTTATATTATTTGTGTACTAAAAAAAATTAATATATAAGGAAATTTAAAGAAAAGAATATATTCCCAAAACAACAGCAGCCAAGAATCTATCAGCTGCTTAACCAATTGGTATTTTTAATATCCATGCGGTGCTTAGCTTGGCAATGTTTATAACTGCAACTTAATATTTGTGTTTAACATACAAAATATATTTGACCTTTTCGAGAGATTGAGGTTAAATGCAGAAGTTTAAAAATGGCCTCCCGCAGTAAGACACCTGAGCTATTTGAAAACTGCTTTTTGCCAATAAATATATAATAAATTGACCAAGGAATCCATTCAACTGTAATGGCCAGAACCTGATTTTATTGGGTATTCCTGAAGAGCTTGGCACATAGTAAACAATAAATATTGACCGAATGATGAATGAATCTACAATTTAAATCTCTTGAGGAGCACCGACTTATTTAAAAGCAGGTTATTAGCAAGGATAGATGACTGAGCTTCTTGTTACTTGCTTTTCAAATGAGAAGGCAGAGGGGGAGCAGCCCCCTCTTTCTAAACAGGAGGTTAATTTGTTCGAGGATAGCGTTAAGTGGCTCACGTTTTGATGACCTGCGAATTTAAAAATCGATTTTGGAACTACACAAACTATAAAAGGGAAAAAAGCAAGTGAGGTGCCACTAGTTTTATACATCCGATTCTGCTCAGACTAGAGGAAAGGGCGCTTAGTAGCTGTGAAATTGTGGGCACATCATTCTACTCGTGTTTTAATTTCTGAAACACGGTCATCATCACTCCCTCATAGATTTGTTGTTTTTTTTTTTTAACATGGAGGAATGTGGAAACTTTTATAAAATGCTGGCTGGCAATATACACATAGTGTTCATTCCAAATCATGCAATGAATGTTTCATATACATTCAATCCCGATTGTTGGGTTGAAAAGCAGAGGCTAAAACTGTACAAAAATCCAAATGTTCTCAAATTCGGTGCAGCCTCTTTCATCTCATTCATTTTAATTTCAACCACACCTATCGGGCCTGTGTGGGCCAGAGGTCCGCTCCCAGCAGCGGCTGGGCCGGCACTGGCGGAGTTCGCTCGGGCCTGGGTCCGGACCGCAGGCTCCCCTAAAGATGACAGTCCGCGCTTGCTTCTGTAGTGCTTGGCACCGAGCCTCCGACGGCCTCGTCCCCCCGCGGCAATTCTGCCGCGGTTCCGGGGTCCTCGCGGGACGCTCCTACCAGTTCTCGGGAGTTGGGTCCTCGACGCTTTTCCCGCCGGTAGAGGGAGATATCCAAGGCAGACGGCGCTGGGCAGAGAAGCCGGAAGGCTGGAGGAGGCGCGGGCGGGCGGGGCGGCAAAGCGGGCAGCTCAAGGCGCGCGCTCCCGTGAACGCGGGAGGGAGGCGGGGGCGGAGCGCGCGCGGCAGCCAGGAGGGGCCGGGAGGCGGAGTCTTAGGGCGACTGCAGGAAGAGGGCGCCCTGGAGCCGAGCAGGCGCCGGATGAGGGCGGGACCACGGTGGAGGGGGCGGGGGGAAGGCCTTGACGCTAAGGGGTGGGGTGAAGCGAAGCGGGGACGCGCTTGCGGGGTGGGGAAGGCGGGGGCGCGGCGGTGGCGGGAGCGTCCACGGTCTCCGCCCGTTTCCCACTCTCCTTCCACCTCCCACCGGCTGGGACTCCGGAGAGGCGCCGTGTGCCAGTTCCCGGAGCCGCCCTGCAGCCGCCGCCTCCTTCCTCCGCTGTGGTGAGCCCGTCAGTCTCCGCAGTGTGCGCTCCTCCGTCTGGGCCATGGATGGGTAAGTACTCGGCGGCGCGGCGGCCGAGCCAGGCGGCGCTTGCCCGGCTTCCTTTCGGCTCTCGGCCGGACGTGCCGAGGCCGGGGAGCCGGGCGCCGCGCCGGCGGCTGGGGGACTGGACGGGCCAAGCCCGACGACGGGGCTTCCGGGTGCGGAGGCTCTTCTGTCCCCGCGGGGCGACCCCGTAATGTCCACCCCTTAACACCCTCACACCCGGAAGCGCTGGAAAGCCGGGTGCAGCCGCCGGGCGCGGGGTCCGCCCTCCGCGCGGAGAGTCCGGGGAGCCCGGCCCTGCCTCCCGACAGACACTTCCTCTCAGAAAATGGTGCGCGGCGCTGGGGGAGGCGGAGGCGGCGCTCGGGGCGGGCGCCCCCCCGCTTGGGGAGTTGCTGTTTACCGGTGAGGTTGGGCGATTGCTGGAGCTTGCGGGGAGCCAGGTGGCCGCGGGGTGGCGGCGACGGTGAGTGCACGCGTCGGTGCTCGTCTGGGCGGCGACCTGGTCCCGCAGTCAGGGCTCCACCGGAGTCTGGACAGGCTGGGCGACCGGCCGAGGTCTCCAGATCCGCGGTATCCGTCTGCCAGGCATCTGGGCTTGATGACCGTGAACAGCCCCCACCCCCACCCCGAAACTTCGTGAATTCCCTGCCATGTGTGTAAAATACTGTGTAAGTGCAATTTTCGGGAGCTTTCAAACCTCTAAAAGTAAATGAGGTCCGTGGCCAAAATAAAAAGATTTGGAATTCTTGGTATAAATCTTTCGCGGGGGACCCAAGGATAGGAGGTGGGACCTGACATATTTTAATGATAAAGGAAGCAGCCAGATTAAGATCTTCGTGGATGAATCGAAGGTCGTAGAATATGTATATCAAGATTAAAAAAAAAAACCCAGCTCTGTTAGAGACTACAAATCCACTTATTTATTCTCAGTATGCGTTTGACGTTTTCTTTGGCTTTTTACTTCTTTTGATGACAAGATTTAGGTACACCTCTAGGTTGTAGAATATTTATGGAACTTGCTTGAATAGTAAAAACCCTGTACATATTGCCATATAGTTGATGATTGTTGCGCTGTGTAAAGACGATGGAATATTCCAACACTTTTTGCCTTCATTAGATTTCATTTGTCTTAGTTTCACGTCTTAATATTACGTCTATGTGATACATTGGATTAACTCATTTGAATGCAGATTGAACACTACTGCAAACATTAGACAAAGTGCAATTTTAGATTTCATTTATGGTTGTAATGTTCCTTATCGTTTAATTTAATTGAAGCTATTTTTGTTTAATTGAAGCGTCCCTGAGAACACTGTTGAAAACTCCTTTCTCAGCTTATCAGTTACACTTCATGTGTGCAAAATTCTGCTATTTTAGTTATTTGTGTAATTATGCCAATATTTCAGTTCTTCGAAGGTTGTGAAATTAGTGTTTAATTTTATGTAGTAAGTTGTTGTTAGACAACTTGACTTGAGATAGGTAAGGAGGCTACTTTTTTTGTATTGGAAAATTTATAGTGGTAATAAAGAGGACTCGGGTTATGTGTCATGGCTGTTACACTTGGACAACTGAAGTGCAGACTTACTCTTTTGCATAGTGTTTAAGAGTAACTCTTCACCTTACATATAATTTCAAAGCTAAGAATTGAGTTTACTGATTTAAATATGTGGGGCAGAAAGATACTGGAGGTAAGTTCATTTGGGAATTAAAATAGAAGCAGTATTTCATCTTTGCAACAGGATCAATACCGTAGTATTTTTTTTATGCACACACATGAGTTACTTATCACATTTAAATTTCAGACTAATGAATTTCAGGTGTCAAGAGTCTACAAGGAAAAACAAAAAAATCTACGTGGTTGTAGTTTAAAACAAATGCACATACTAAACTGAGAGTCCTGTTTATTTACTTTTATTAATGAAGATACAAGTTACTAACAATATATAGATTAGTTATAGCTTTCTTAGGCGATCTGGAGACAAACCTAAGTTGAAGACAGTTTCCTTAAGGTTAGAAGAGATGTATTTTTGTTTGGCACAAATTTATAGGGGTTTTTACACCTTGGTGTTAAGGGATTTGGTTATGAACATAGTGAATTTTTACTTTCAGGAGGATAATTAAATTTCTACATTTTCACACAGCCTGAAAAAGGTCCTTTTTCATCATATTGGATAATCAAAAAATAACAAACCACCAGTCAACATATTTTTCTAATACCTCCTCAAATCCCATCTGTCTTGTGTGTGTGTATGTGTTCATTTCCTCCTGAGATAATTTATGCTTAAGTACAGTTTTGATATGGGAGAACTATTTTAAAAAGCAAATCTTTGAAAATTTTGATGTATGGAATTTGATGTTTGTATTTTAGTTCTGATATATTATCTTAGCTATATTTTTGTGACCTGTTTTGGGTGACAGATACATGCACGATACCTTCTACTTCTGTAAAATCCATTCACTGGTTTGTTTCATTTAAAACTTTAAACATAATTCATACCAGTAATTTAGAAGAATGAACCTCGCTGATTTTAAGTTTCAGTGTGGATTTGTTAAAACAGAGGTAAATGGATAATAAACACATTCTCATTCAAGCACAGCAATACTTTTCTAGAACTAAGAATTTGATTTATTATGTTTCTTATATTGCTGTTAAAGCTTTGCTTTTACCAAAAAATTCTGCTGTTGCTGGGCTATTCCATCACTTTTCTTTATATTAACATTTCACAACTCATTACATTCTTACTTTTATTATGTTATTATAATGCTTTTCTTTTTTTCTTTAATCTTATTATCTCTGTCTTTTAAAAACTTGTTCTCTAACTTTGTTTTCCATTTTCTCTTTTTACTTTTTCCATACAGTGTTGTTACAGATCTTATAGCAGTCGGTTTAAAGGTAGGAATCTTTTTACTATCCTTTCATAAGCATTTAAAATCTTAGTTTTGGCATTTTTTTCCCCAGTGGTGTAATCATCTCACTTGTTCATAAAATTATCTGTTTTACTGTGTGATAATCATCTTTCCTTTTTATTTTGCTCCAAAATAAGTAGAACTGTAGCTAATTTTGGGTTTTATATAATATAAAGAGGTGGTGCTACAAAGTTATGTTGTGTATCTAAAACGTGAACAAAAAATTTGGTCGAAACTTTCACTGCAGCCATCAGAGTATTTTTGTTTTGTTTAAAGCAGTTAAATGTAACCTAGGCTCTGATTTATTTTCCTATCATGTCTTTTCTTGGATGTTTATGAGTAAGAATAAGAGCAGCTCAAGTTTAATTCCTACTGTGTGCCAGCTGCTTTACATGTATTTTTACTGATTATTGTAACATTCCTTCAAGGTAGGTATTAATATTCCCATTTTAGAGCAGAAAAAATAGGTTCAGAAAGTTTGTGTTCAAAGTGTGGTGCACTGGAGTTCAAACTCAGTTTTTCCTGGTTCCAAAGCTCTATCTTTTTTTTTCATTATCCCTAGCTATCAATATTGAGGGTTCGCCTAAAAGGTGAACAGCAGGAGAACTGGATAATTAATATTTTATGGTAATAATCCTTCTAAATTATAAGTCATTTCAGTTTTATCAAAGTCTTATTTCTTGGATTCTAAAAATAGAGTAAACAGTGTTCAAAATATAAGGCTTTTAAAATATAAAAGGATGTTTTAAGGTTTCCTTTAGCGATTTGGTATGGATATAACTGAGATGAGAATCTTGCTGTAGAGGCCACTTATAGTTCAGATTACTGTAGAAATTAGGAAGAAATAATTCGTTTGTGTTTTATATGTTTTATGTATGACTTTCTGTCCATTGTCTTCCTGCTACCAGTCTCAGTGCTCATATATTTGCACTTACTGAATCTGATTGTGGTGCTCATATTCTTAGAACATCTTAGAAAATAAGCATAAATACAGCAAACAGCATTTGAAATTAACAGTAGGATGTCCAAGATTAGCATAATTGGGAGCTACTGCTTACACTGTCTTTTGCAGTTGGGTGGAGTTAGCTTGCTTTGGCAATCTTTGAACATATTTTATGAGTTGAAAATAAATGGAGAAGCCTCTTTTGGTGAGTTGTGCTCCCCCTCCCCCCCATATCTAAGTTAGTTTCACATTTGGGAATGACATTCAGATATAGAAACTGGAGGCTCATATGCAGGATCACTTTTAGTGTCTCTGTAGGTGCCTGTGAGAGAAGGGATATTTAAAGTGAATATTGTTTTGGTCTTACCAAAATAAAACTTGTGAATCTAGATTTTATCTGGGAAAATGAATACATGAGACATTTAAAAGACTTACCATTTTGGAGTTGAGAAATTTTGTTTGAAGGAAATTTTGTCTTGCCTGTTTCATTGTGGGGGAAAATATATCTTGATGGTAAATAAAATAATGGAAATGTTAGGCACAGAAACCTTATTTGAATGCACAATAGGGATTTCTGACGACCTGTTTTGCAACAAACACTTTGAAAACAAAGATCAAATTCTACTCTGAAGAAAATATAACCCGATTAGTTGATTCGGCAATCTATATTTTTATAGACTTAAATACTGGAAATGTCCGTACAATTATTCATTATATGGGCATTTCCCATAAGATTGTTCTGCATCTTTCTTGGATCCCATCCAAAAAAGTTGAGGTATGAAGTAATAGGCCAATAAGACTCGTATTTTGTCTAGATTATATAAACCAAAACTACTGAATTTAAGTAAATATAAACATCAAGAATATAAACTTACCTTCTTCAATTTGCTGTCTGAATATAAGGATACAACACATTGCAGCCAGTGGCAAGAGTTGATTTCAGGTTATGTTCTGTAAGTCACTTCCCTAGATTCAGAAAAGTAATATGGATTACATTTTTAAAGAATTGAAAATACCTTTGTATATGAAACCCATTATTTTAGAGGAAGAAAACTGAATTGTTTTTAGAGATTAAGTGATTCACTAGAATGTGTCATGAGGGCAGAGATTTTTGATATTTTCTTCAGTACTGTGTTTCTAGTGTATGGCACATAATAAGCTCTCAAAAATACTTTTTTTTTTTTTAAATACTTGAATGAATGTCCAGTTGTCTCACAACTAGTTAGGTGACAAACTTAAACTGGAACCCAAGCCTTTCTAGTATTTCTTCAGTTAGGTATATCTGCTGGTAAGGGAGAATTAAATTCTTTTTTTTTAGATTGGAATTTTCTTGTAGACAGGTAAACATTTTCAGGCTGTTTAGGGCTGTGTTTGAGATTTACTTATACCTAGTTGTATACCCTCAATGCTCTATGCAGGGTATAAGTTTTTGGCCTTGACTAAATTGGACAAGAAAATTAAGAAAGCTTTAGGTACTTCTTATGAAATGTTTGCTTAATTTCCTCATGTTACTTCATATTTTGAAATGCTTTTAGAAACAGAATTGCCATTCTTACTTTTTAATTATTTTAAATGATAGTCATCAGCCAGGTGATTATGAGTGATAATTGGGCATGTTTCAAGAACTTTATTATACCAGATAAACCAAAGTATCAGCATTGTGGGTAACATAGCTTTTTGTGTGTGTACATAAGTGTATTTTAGATTTCCAGCTAATAATTTAATTATTAGTAGCTAGTTTATCTTAAACTAAAATATTTCTCACATTCGTGGCTTCAAAATACTGTAGTAGCTATGAAAACAAATGACTTTTTAAAACAATGAACTCCCATGTTAAATATGTTCTAGTCTTTTTCAGGGTTATCTTCTTATTTTAAGTGATAAGATGAGTATAGAAAAACACACATGTTTAGAAAGGACTGTAATTTTAACAATTATTATGCTTGACACCATATAGGAAAAACAATACAGCATATTTAAATGAATTTTGAAGATCGATTTTCTATTTGCTTAACCAGGGGTTAGCAAAGGACAGCCTTTGGACCAAATCCAGCTTGCCACCTGTTTTTGTAAATAGCTTTGTTGGAGCACAGCCAGGCTCATGGTTTCCATATTGTCTGGCTATTTTCACCATATAATGACAGAGTCGAGTAGTTGTAGCAGAGACCATATTCACACAAAGCCTGAAATATTTACTTTCTGGCCCTTAACAGAAAATGTTTGCCAACTGCTGTGCTTGAACTGTAGGAAACATAGAAGCCTTTGCTAGAAATCTTTTTTTAAACTAAGCTGTCATTTACATTGAGGGAAGTGCACAGGTCTTTAGGGTATAGTGCAATAAATTTTGACAAATGTGTCTGCCTGTGTTTCCTACTCTCTAATCAAGACCATAGACCATCACTCCAAAAAGTTCCCTGTTGCCTTTTTCTAGACCCAATCTAAGCACCAGTTCTTCTTTCTACCACCAAAGATTAATTTTACCTGTTTCTGAACTTAATCTAAAAGGAATAAAATAATCATAGTTCATACAGTATAAAAGCCATTTGATATATGGTTTCTTTTTACTCAGCAAAATGATTTTTAGATTCATCCATGTTACATGAAATCAGTAGTTCTTTTTTATTTCTGAGTATTCCATTATGTGACTATTATCACAATATTTAAAAATCCATTCTAGTGTTTATGGACATTTGGGTTCTTTCCAGATAATGGGCTATTATTAATAAAGCTTTATAAACATTTGTGTATGTCTTTGGATAGATGTACATTTCATTCTACACCATGCCTAGGAGTAGAATTGGATCATGTGTATGTTTAACTTTTTAAGAAACTGTTGAACTATTTTACAAAATGTACCACTTTACACTCTGGCCAACTTGGTATTAGAGTTCAGGTTGCTCCACATTCTTGTCAACACTTGGTATTAACAGTCTTTCCTTTGGCCATTCTAGTGGGTATAACTAGAGTGACTAGTAGTATCTCATAGTTATAATTTGCACTGACTTGATGTCTAGTGGTGGAGTGTACCTTCTCATGTACTTATTAATCATTCACTTACTATTTTTAGCATCTGTTAAGACTTTTGCCTGTTCTTTTAAAGTGGGTTTCTTATAGACAACATAAAGTTAGGCCACTCTAACAATCTGTCTTGAATTGTATATACACCACTATATATGTATATAGTGGGTGGTGGGAGGTCTTTGTCTATTTTTTCACTATCTTTAATTTTTACAGTTAATTCAAGTTCTCTATTTACCCTCACAGTAATTTTGAGATTTTATATTTTTGTAGAATACATTCATTATTGATTTCATAAACTTATTATTTTACAGTTTATAGTACTTATGTTAATTTTTAGTCTGTAGTTTTTAGTTCCTTTTTTATTCTGAATTGTTTATTACTTCTCTCTCTGATCAGTTATGCCAGAGGCTCAGGTTATTAATGTTTTAAAATAATCAGCTTTTGGGTTTTATTGTCATCTTTGTTTGATTTTTCAGTTCTTGACTTCATTGTTTTCTATTTTTTCAGTATTTTTCTTCTTTCATGTTTATCTGGCTTTGCTGTTCTTTTTCTAACTTTTTGTATTACATAACTAACTCATTTACCTTAAAAATTTCTATTTCCTCAGAAATGTGTATAGAACTCTTAAGTTTATCTTAGTACTAGAGTTGTATCCTAGAAGTTTGGATTTGTGTTTTCATTTTCATTGTATCTAAGTATTTTTACATTTTCCTTATGATTTTTAAAAATTTTCACTTTTAAACCAAGGTTTGTTCAGTGGTTTAAAATATTTAATTTCCAAACATGAGCTACACTTTTGTTACTGTTTCTAATTTTATTGTAGAGAACATAGTCTGCTCGGTATATTCATTTAGATAATATTGAGACATGCAGGAGTTGGCAAACTGTGACTTGAGGGCTAAATAGAGCTCACTGCCACCTGTTTTGATACATCCCATACACTAACATGCTTTTTATACTTCTAAATAGTTAAAAATAATAAAAAGGTTAATATTCTGTTTATAATATTTTGAAAAAATAGA